CCGAATGGTAGAAAGTCTATTCTATCAAAGGTAGTTTAAATCTCCAAAATTTATGACCATTAGTTATTTACTTTCCAAAAAATATTTTATTCGGTATTTACTTTCCAAAAAACGTAGATCTTTCCGGAAAAAACATATTTGATTTTTTTGTCAAATGTTTTGTAGTGTTTTTGGAAAAAACATATTTTAAAACACATTTTAATTTTTTTCAATTTAATGGAAAATTTATAGGAATATAATGTTTTAGTTTGCTTCATTTTTATCTGTTTTTTATTTTTTGTTCATATCCCAATTTTATTGTTTTATTTTTAGTTTTATGTATGTTAAAAAGGAAATTTCCAAAAATGAATATCCTTTTTTTNTTTCAATTTCGTAAAAACAAATATATATTCCAAAAATATTGTAAAAAAATTATTTTTATTCAATTTGAAGATTAAAATTGGGATATGAAAATAGCAAAGATTATTGTGATAATAAATAGAAGGTTAATTTATAAAATACTAATTGAGTCAATTTAGCAAATTTCCCGTATATATATGCTTTTTCGTTTCATTTCTGGCTTTTTCTCTCTTTTTTTTAAATGGATTTTCTGCAAATAAACCTTTTAAATGGTTAAGATTTGCAATTTTACCCTGCAGATCAATCCTCCAAGTCAATCTGCAATATAACCCTTCTAAATTTTTCAAACTGCAATATTTACTTGAAATAAGAAATCCCAAATGGTCAAATCTATTTCATCTCTTAAAATTTATGAAATCTAACGTTTGTAAACGTAAAAGCTTTTCAATTTTTCATAGCCATGTATTTAATTGATTTGGAAGATAAAATTGCAAATTTTAACCACTTGGAATGTTTATTTGCAGACAATCCTTTTTTAATCCAATGTTTCATTTTGTGGATTTTGGTTTCTATTGTTTTCAGGAATATACAAATTAAGGTGGTTACCGGAAGCAGTTCGATCCACGAGTCCATCGCCATCTTCCCATTTCAAAATAGCAAGGGGTTATTTACGTTTTCTATTCTCAACACTTAAGAAAGACGACAAAAAAAAGACGTTTTCGGGATTCTCCTAATAAGTAATAACCAACCGATCGATATTCATTGCTTAATTAATACATTGACACTAGCTTTCACACTAGCAAGACCATACACATATAACTACACGTAGGTTCTTGTCGGCGATCAATTCTATGTAACGCTTTTGTTGATACTTTACTTGAGAGTTTTAGACTCTTAAGACAATTCAAAATGTAAGGTTTTATG